ACTGTTAGCTCCAGGTAAGTGGGGAGACATTTCTTCATGGCTATTTATATGTCTGCCCAGTAAGATCATGAAATAAATTTGAATTTCCTCCTTCTTTATACATTCCCCTGATACAGCCCAAGAACCGGATACTCATTTTACGTTGATGGGTGTTGTTCATACCATAGAGTATTTCAGAGTAGTAGAAAAGAGTAAATTTGTATTGATCTTCAGTTGTAAACATCACAACATTTCCTGAAAGAATCAAAACCAAATAATTTATTTAAAAACCCTCAGTTTTAAGTAGCTGTTGCCTTGGTAATGACCCCAAATTTGAGTTTTTACAGCGCTATGAATAGTCTGCATTCACAGGACTGGAGTCTGAGGGGTTTGCTGCATTGACATATGTGGCTTTCTGAAAAGTAGTCTGTCCAATATTACAACAATATTGATTAATTTAGCTACCAGTAATGACAAAATTATCACATTTTAATATAGGACATTTCATATTGCTTATCCCAAATGGTACTTTTAGCCAAGCAAATCCCATGGGTAGAAAAACAAATGAACTGATACAATGTTGATTTTCAATTTTGCTCATGACTGTTTCTTAGAAAAACTTCCTGCTTATAGTTAAGCACTTAACAATATTTATTAAATGTATGACAACTTGAAGCTAGTGTTTAAAGAATGTTGAGAAATGTGTGTGCAGGCACAGTGCACAGCTCATTCAGTGGACCCTCTACTTTCACGTTTTCCTACCTGCTGACTAGTAATACCATCAAGGTGAGTATCATGCTAAATTTAATTTAATTAATTTTTATCTGGCTTTATTTATTTGACTCTTCCTTGAAGCTAGAAATTATAATAGAAATTTTTATAGTTTACAATATTAAGCAACATTTGAAACACATATGTATGAGTTACACAGAGTTGGGTTTTTAATCTGCAATGATGAGATTTTATACTGAGTCTCTGACCATAAAGATCGTGAGCATGAAATATGTGATGAATATATTGAGATCGTTAATGAGGGGAGTCTGTATTTTCCTATAAACATATCATAATATATTATCAGAGGTTTACATTCCTTCTTTGGTATTAACTTTATTTCCTTTATTGTTTCTGAGAATTAACTTCATTTGCCTTCATAGTTTGGAAATAACTTTAGCGAATATTTGAAATTTGAGATGGATCTACCCTGAAGGATATTTTTGGATAGAAATTTGACCCTGTAGCCCCCCACTCATTTATATATATATATATAATATATTGATTTTCAATAGTGACTCCCTGGAATTACTTGCTAGTGAGGGATGAATCTATATTCAATTGTCATTGGAAATAAAAATAGATAATAGATAGATGATAGATAGATGATAGATTGATAGATGAATACAAAAAGCCAGCCAGACTTAGCTTATCAATAAATTAAAAAAAAAAAAACTAAATCCAAGGGTGGCTAGATGGCTCCAGAGGTTAAGAGCACTGACCTTGCAGAGGACCCAGGCTCAGTTCACAGCACTCTCATAGGGGCTCACAACCAACTATACCTCCAGCTCCAAGATATCTGACATCTTCTTCTGCCCTCTGTGGACACTGCATGCATGTAGTGAACATATATACATACAAAGCATCCATCCACATAAAATAAAAATAAGAAAATAAAATATTTTTAATATTTTATTTATTATTTTAATTATTTTATTTGTATGAGTGCATTTCCTACATGTATGTAAATGCACCTGTGTCATGCAATGCCCACGGAGGTAAGAGTAGGGTGTCGGATCCCCTGGAACTGAAGCTATGGACAGTTGTTAGCCACTACATTGTTGTTGGTAATTGAACCCAGGTCTTCTGTAAGAGCAGCCAGTGCTTTTAACTGTTGAGCTATCTCTCCGGCACCAAATAAAGTATTTTGAAAGTAAATAAGTAAACCCCAAAAGTGCAGTAATGCTGGCTCAGAACTATTTGGGTTATGACCATTCTGATTCCTGTTCCTGTTTACTACTTTTATTTATTTCTTATTTCCTAACTTTCACAGAATAGTCTTCAGAAAGTCCCTTCTCTGTGTGGCTTTCGAGTCAGAATTGGCTGAGTGCAGGACTGGACCTTGACACTCAGCACTGCACCTCGGACAATCCACTTACTGCAGCCTGGTTCCTCATGCACTGTGAGGGAGAAAATGCTTACTGCGTAGGGCGGTGGAGGACTGAGAGAGACAGGTGCGTGTCTTGTGTGGAATGATTAGTTATATGCTTAGCCGTCTGCTTAGAAAGGGTGGGAGTTTAAAGAAAGCTCTTATGTTGGTTTTGGGGGATTAGGTGATGGATGAGGCCAGTCGGGTACTTCCTCTGTGAGAGTAAGAACTTGAATTTGATCCCTAGAACCCACATGCTGAAAATCCCCAGGTGTGATGTCAAGCTTGGATCTGATCGCCAGAGAGGCAGAAACAGGTAGATTCCTGGGGTTTCCTGGCCAGGTTCCAGGCCAGTGAGAGACCCTGTCCAAAAAACGTGGATGGTGTCTTCTAGGGTTCCCTCTGCCCTCTGCAAACATCTGTACTTGTGCCTGCACACACTTGAAAACAGAAGACACACACACACACAATTGCCTTTGAAACCCTGCCCCATCTCACTAATTGTATAAACGTTAATTTCCCGTTGTCATAATCAAATAATAAAATCATTTAGCCAAACCTGACAGTTAAGCCAGAGGCTCTACCCAATTATTTGGTGTAGATCTTGTTGTTTTAAGAATTACAAGAGGGCTGAGCGATGGCTCAGCAGTTAAGAGCCACTTTTGCAGAGGATCAGTGTTCGATCCCCAGCACCCACACTGGGGGAATCACAACTGCCTATAACTAGCTCCAGAAGCTTCAACTCCCTCTTCTCAGCTCTGCAGATGAACAGCGAATCTTCCATGTCCCTCAATGTGCCCCCACGCGAGGAGACCCCCTGCATGCAGGAGACCTTCCAATTCCCAGGAAAATCGCCAGTGCTCCTGGGAGCAGTTCCAAGCAGCCTGTGGGCTCCCTGCCTTGTCTTAGGTTGATGTGCACACTCAGCACATTCTTGGTGTGGCTGGAACCTGTGTCACACACAGGAGGATCCTGCTCAGTGAGATACTGTGTTCATGGCTTAACTTTTTTAAAGACAAGTTTGGAAGATCCCAGATGCTGCATCTGCCCCTGGTTCTTGCCCCTCAGAGGATGAGGCTAGTAAGAGAGACAGCAAGGGTGACTAAATTTCTTAGCAGTGGAAGGGCCACTCTTTCAAAACAGCAACAGTAGGTAATCCCATCCAAAACCTGTCTGCTGGCTCACTTGAAAATCTATCCAACACCCTTGCGGTAGGCACCCAGCAGAATGGAGACAGAATGCTATTTCCTGAAAGAAACAGATCCCCAGCCATATATTCAACTAGTGAGAAAGTTTCTATTTCCATATGGTAAAAGGAGTTTCCTATCAGCTATGAATTCCTCTTCCCATAACCTAATCTTTGACTTACTATTATTTTTGCCTTTATAAGAGAATTAAATAGAAGCTCAGTATGTTAGCGGAACTTGGCAATTCAGTTTCTAATAGTGATGATTTTGATGTGCTGGGAAAATAGTTAAACATGCATTAATCTTAATGCATCTCAACTAAAACATAATCATGATTTACAACAGGCCCACATCAGTAGCCAGCTTTCCCGATAAATTATTTACTCTTTTAAATAAAAATAAAAATGATATTTGATTTTACAGCTCAAATTCCATTTCATTGCCCTTATAGATGCAATATTTATTTTTATTGTTTAATTTAATTTTTCTTTTTTTATTGAGCTTTTAAAATTTCATACATTCCCCACTCAATTCCAGACCCCCTGGAGGTGGGGAGGTGGGGGGGTGGGGGGGGTCAGAGAATGATTTGGATGTGGGTCCTTTTCTTCTGCCTGTGTGACACAGGGTCCCTTTGTCCTTCATGGCTGCATGCTTCAGGCTCCCTGGCCTGCTGGGATCCTCCTGTTTCTGACTCCCACATTGTGGTAAGGGCACTAAAGTTACATGTTACAGACTCCAGCTTTTATTCGGGGTCTGTGGATCTGAACTCAGGTTCTCAAGTGTGTGTCAAATGCTTTCCCCACTGAGCTATCTCCCCAGCCCCTTCACATTTTTTTTTTTAAACAGAAATGTGAAGTCTGTAGCATAAATTGCCATAGTTTTCTGGAGTATGAACTGTGCTGTTAGAAACCAATCCACAGAATCCATGGAGTTTCCAGACCTTTGTTATGGGGGTAGGTAGCACGGCCGTGAAGCCAGGGCACGGAGATGGGACCACGGATGTGGAGGGTGCGATACGCTTTTATTTAAAATTTTGATAGACGTATGCATTTTTTGTAGATCACTTGGATTGGTTTTAATGTTTTCAAATATTACCTTCAATATTATTCACATCAACTCTGACTGTTTCTGAGACTCTCAGAATTATGGACAACAACTGGGGGTGCAGCACCTCTCACATAGCACAGAAACAGTTTGCTTCGCCACAGTTCCCGTCCCGAGAACGTGGTTCCTTAGGTTCCCATAATGTGTTTCACAAAACAGGAGATATTAGCAGTGGGTTAGCACACATACACAAAGGAATGCCTTTATGCAGTCAGGGTAAACACCTTTCATCTGATTCTTCTCACAAGCTGACCAGCTTGCTCAGACAGAACTCAGCAACAGCATTTCCCAAACTCATTCACCTACAGGACACAGGGAAATGTGCTCTGAGAAACAATCCAGCACATGATGACAGAGGGCCACCTCAAAGACATGTTTTGTCCCAATTCACCTTCTTCACACCTTCTCTAGTCCACCAGAACCCTACCGGATGGATGTGTTGACACAATCAGGCTATCATCATAAAAGGGCTGAGTTAATATTTCTACAAATAGGCACTATAAAAAATTCATGGTAAAGGACTATCAAAATAATAGACAACACCTTGGGGCACAGAACTTCTCAGATAAAACAGTGTCAAATACACTTGCCTGTGAAGTCTTCACTGAATGGGTGAGCTGTGCTGGGGAATTTGTAGTGCCCATTCCCTGTGAAGTGGGTTCCCTTTGTCACTGCAGCCATGGGAGCAGGTAGAGATGATGCTCTCCTTTCTAGCTTGTACAGAGGAGGTAGACCATTGATCTCTGCAGGCCGATGCTTCTGGAGATGGATTGTACTCCTGTTGATTCCTGTTACCACAGGAAACCTCAGCTGAGCAGGAGCTGAATGTTAGATAACACCTGTTACATTTAAGAAGCTAATTTCAATCATTAGACATAGACAGTCACACACAGACATATCTTTGTGTACACAACATTACAGAGTCAAGTAAGTTTTGGTCTTATGGATCTGTGTGGTTCTCAGAACTGAAAATACAGTGCAGAGTCCATCTCAAAAAATTTAAATGGCTCCCTCACTTTCCTCTGCTTCCCTGGGCCTGCATGATGTGCAGGCCTCTCTAGGACCCGCAGGCATCTCTCCAGGGTAAGTCGATCGTGCCCTCCCCGCCTGGACTCCCTCAGCCTCATTCACCCTCCCATCTGCCCGGCGGGTTTCTCCTCCTACCCTGAGTCCTGTCCCATTTCTTAGCTTGGCGCCCCAGACACCTGGAGAACAACCGTTGCTTCCTGATCCTTTGCATCCAGACCAACTCAGTTCCTTCTTGGGCCCCCAGGAGCACTCTGGGCCTGGCCCCGCCCTCACCTCCTTCTACTTCTCTGGGCCTGCATGACCCACCAGCCTCTCCTGGATGCCTGGGGCTGACCTTTCCTCTTCCTGGTCCTTTGCATCCAGACCAACTCAGCTCCTCAGTGTAGTCCCCAGGAGCCCTTGAGGCCACCTCCTGCCCCCATCTTCCTTTGCATCTCTGGGTGGGACAGCCACCAGCTTCCCTAGACCAGCATTTTCCTAGGCCCTGCTCCCAGGCCAGTCCAACCCCCAAATTACTGAGGCCAAAATCTTTCCTGGAGGGATCCAGACCTTAGGAGAAAGCCTGAGAGCATCTGGCCCTCATCTGAATTGGGACTCTGTGGAAACTCCTGAAGACAAAAGCAATCTGGCCACTCCAAAATAAAATCAAAGGAGAGAATTGGAAACTTAGAGGAACCAGCCTTTCATGCCCAAAAAGTAAATAACAAAGACACATAAAGTTCACAAAAAGAAGCAGACCTAAACTTGAAGGCCTGAGTCTCACACAAGAATCAGGAACTACAAAAGAAATGC